AAGAGGAGAAGAAGAAAACACTGTATGATACTTGAGAAAGGGTTTTTTGCGTACCTCATTAATGTGTTTGTGAGGACTATTTATACCTTACAAAACTCATCATTGTTGACAGCGTAGCTAGTAGGTAATCATTCGAGATGGACTGTGCACACTAATTTCTATGAGAAATGTGCTCATTCATAATTGTTCAGGACCCCGAACAACTAATGTTTTCTCCTCGGTCTGCCAAGCATTTAATGACCTTCTCTCGGCAAGGAGGTATTAAATGCCCAGGCATCGAAACATTCATTACCTTTCGCTTCTAAGCTCTTATGCATTAAACGCTGTCTCACAAGGGAAGGATGCATTAAATGCTTGTTCTCCCAAGTCGTGTGTAAACAAGGGCATTCTGGTCTTTTTGTCTCTGATCTGACACAATATGCCACGTGCCCATCCCCCTTTGGTTGAGCCTTCTACTTTCTTGTGCCTCCTGACACCATTTGAGTAAGACGAGGTCATGATGGCTAGTCTAGCCTAGCCTAGGCTAGTGATCTGTCCATCAATAGCCCCTATAGAAGCAGAAACGCCTATGTGGACAGATACACCTCGGTGTCGAGGGACTAGAATAACTAGGACTGATATACCTAAATTGCCGAGGAATACGTGTCGGTCCAAGGCGTGTTGGGATCCTTGGTCCCTGTGAATAGTATCCTCGGGGCAGGGGTTCGTAAATCGACGAAGACGTGTCGGGATCACAGCGGAGAGTCTCCATTGACGCTAAGTACACGTGTAGTCATCTGGGAGTATCTAAAAATGTCTCATCACCAAATATACCCTTCCCGACTAAAATGCACTTTACCAGAACAGTAGAAGCGTTTACATATGTCTTACAGAGTGGGAGAGAGAGAGGACCGAGAATCAAGAGAAACCTCCATCGCCACCAGAGATGCGACTTTAGCCGTCTCTTTCCTCAAGTACGCTCCTAGTGGCTCAGCCCTTAGAGGGGTGTTTGAATAATGGGATTGCATAGGGTAAAACTTCATTTTTTATATCCTAACCTATCCAAGTCAAACTCTTTCACCCACTTTAAAATCCTAACCTTTGAATATATCAAATCCTAACATTTGTTTGGGAAACAAAGGTGTAATTCAGTGGGCCTCATAGGTTACATAAATAATTTTGCATTAATTTATTATTTTACCCATAACTCTATCCATTTCAATCCAAACTAATTCTATCCTATGTTTGGATTGGTGAATTATCCTAATAAAATTATACATTTTTCGCATATACATAAAAATATATAAAAATAAAATAATTTTTTTTTTAGGAAAGTTAATAATTTTTTTTTCAAACAAATCAACACTTTATTTCATTCCTTAAAAATTGATTACAATGGGAGAAAGGATAAAATCACATGAATCAGAAGAAATTAATAAAACCAAACACAATGGAGAGAAAAGTACTGTGAAGGAATGCTCTTTCAGTTTACATGGCCAAGACTCGTTTCAAATGAACTTTAACCCATGACAAACATAGAATCGAGTGTGTGTCAATTATGAATTTAGAGTACCTACAACAGGTCCATTGTAAAACTGTGCTAAATTTCGTTACATTTTTTTTTAAAGAATAGAAGTATTTTATTAATAGAAAAAACAATTACAAGAATCAAAGAATAAACTGTTTTAAAAAAAAATACAAGCAATGGCTTTAATCCTTCAAGATGATTAAAATCATTTTTAACTACATTTGTGCACCTCCTGATCTTTATAACCCAGCTCCTGATACAGAGACAATCTGCCATATAATAGCAGAACACCACTGATACTGAAAAACCTCTCTGTCCAGCTGCTGAGCTTGCACTCCTCCTCCTTGCAGATGTGAATTGATCTAACTGCTCATACTGAGCAAACCATGGCATACTTCAATTGTAGACAATCCCGTAATTATATCAAATCTACAACCATGATTAATAATATTTTAATAAAAAAGGAATAGAAGAATAACACAGTAGTAAGACAGTTCACAACAAGCAGCATTTGTGCATGCATATTAAGAATTAAAAAGAGCAGCTTCTTCGACAGTTGCTGGATTGTACTCTCCTGCTCTGTCCATCATAGAGCAGCTTCACAAACACAAAGTCAGAAACAACAAACAGAAAGCTAGTGTATAGCAAATGGCATATTTTTGCTGTTATTAACTTCACATAGACAACTGACTAGGACCAGAGTTTCAACACTGCCTGAGTTTCACAATCATTCAAGAAGTCCCTAGGAAAAAAAAATTGAACATCAGCAAGTCTGAGACTTAGAAGGATAAATTGAACATCAAGGCCAGGTAATTGAAGAGAGTATCCAACTCAGCTAATGAAACAACTAACGTTCGAATCAAACAATAAACTTCTATTCTACCTGAAACCCAATTTTCCTGTTGATTTACATAGCACGAAACCCACAAGAAGAGAAGCGTGCGTGAGCTCTAGGTAAGTGCATTTTCTCACATTTCATCAGAATAGAAAATTCAACAAAGATAGCCCAAGAAATGAACACCCATTTGTGGGTATTGTACTGATTACATGATCAAACATTTTCAGTGGCCATGCAATAATAGATGAGCATAAATGTTAACACATTGACGAATATTAGTACCTACTGAGCTCAGTGCTGTGAAGAAGAAGCTGTGTTCTTCGTTCTGTCCAGCGATGTCGTCTTCTTTGTCGATTATGTGCGAACCCTTGGACGAGCTCTCACCCNACTTTAACCCATGACAAACATAGAATCGAGTGTGTGTCAATTATGAATTTAGAGTACCTACAACAGGTCCATTGTAAAACTGTGCTAAATTTCGTTACATTTTTTTTTAAAGAATAGAAGTATTTTATTAATAGAAAAAACAATTACAAGAATCAAAGAATAAACTGTTTTAAAAAAAAATACAAGCAATGGCTTTAATCCTTCAAGATGATTAAAATCATTTTTAACTACATTTGTGCACCTCCTGATCTTTATAACCCAGCTCCTGATACAGAGACAATCTGCCATATAATAGCAGAACACCACTGATACTGAAAAACCTCTCTGTCCAGCTGCTGAGCTTGCACTCCTCCTCCTTGCAGATGTGAATTGATCTAACTGCTCATACTGAGCAAACCATGGCATACTTCAATTGTAGACAATCCCGTAATTATATCAAATCTACAACCATGATTAATAATATTTTAATAAAAAAGGAATAGAAGAATAACACAGTAGTAAGACAGTTCACAACAAGCAGCATTTGTGCATGCATATTAAGAATTAAAAAGAGCAGCTTCTTCGACAGTTGCTGGATTGTACTCTCCTGCTCTGTCCATCATAGAGCAGCTTCACAAACACAAAGTCAGAAACAACAAACAGAAAGCTAGTGTATAGCAAATGGCATATTTTTGCTGTTATTAACTTCACATAGACAACTGACTAGGACCAGAGTTTCAACACTGCCTGAGTTTCACAATCATTCAAGAAGTCCCTAGGAAAAAAAAATTGAACATCAGCAAGTCTGAGACTTAGAAGGATAAATTGAACATCAAGGCCAGGTAATTGAAGAGAGTATCCAACTCAGCTAATGAAACAACTAACGTTCGAATCAAACAATAAACTTCTATTCTACCTGAAACCCAATTTTCCTGTTGATTTACATAGCACGAAACCCACAAGAAGAGAAGCGTGCGTGAGCTCTAGGTAAGTGCATTTTCTCACATTTCATCAGAATAGAAAATTCAACAAAGATAGCCCAAGAAATGAACACCCATTTGTGGGTATTGTACTGATTACATGATCAAACATTTTCAGTGGCCATGCAATAATAGATGAGCATAAATGTTAACACATTGACGAATATTAGTACCTACTGAGCTCAGTGCTGTGAAGAAGAAGCTGTGTTCTTCGTTCTGTCCAGCGATGTCGTCTTCTTTGTCGATTATGTGCGAACCCTTGGACGAGCTCTCACCCTTGTACCCCGAGGTAGGCAAATATTCCTCCGTGCCGAGGTGTTCCTTTTGTACGCTGAATCTCACCTCTCCATTGCTTCTATAAAAGTTAATGATTGACGGACGACTAGACTAGGCCAGACTAGGTTAGTCATCGTGAAGACGCTCTGCGTGTTAGGAGGCGCAGGAATGCAGAACATGCAACCAAGAAGGAGTAGACGCGTGGAATGTGATATAAAATCAATAAGCTAAAGGACTTAGGTACCCTTGCTGACACATGACTGGAGCAAGTGAGCATTTAATGAATCCTCCTCCTGATAAGATAGCAATTAAGGCCTAGGGGCCGAGAAGTGAAGTGCATTAAAGACTCTCATACTTGGGCATTTAATGTATCCTCGCCGAGAAGGAGGAAATTGAATGCTCGGCAGGCCGAAGAGTGAGCTTTAAATGCTCGACATCCCAATCGGTTAAAGTCAAGCCCATTCTCCATAAAAGTAAGGGGCACACTGTCCATCTCTGACAAATACCTGTTGGGTAGACTATCAGCAATCATTAGCTTTTGAAGGTATAAATAGTTCTCAAAAACGCATTGCAAAAGTATGCGAGAACTGTTAAAAAGAATTACACAATGTTTTCTTTTTTCCCTCTCTCAAAGAACTAACTTGATCGTTGGAGGAGATACGCTAGAGAGCACTCCGGCACCCTTCTAACTTGTTTTTCTGTCACAAGATCCCCCCACAGCCTTCCTGGACTGGTTAGGCGATCCAATAAACAATTCATCACCAGTCCTTAGGACTCATTTGTCCCTCTCAACCTACTTCTTATTGCAAAAACCCACGTTTGGTTGGGTCAAATCTCAGATAGAGGTGACCAGGAACCTGAAAGCAAACCTTCCGTTCCATCAGAATTTACTACCTTGACGACCCATAGTTCATCGTGGGAGAGATCTATTCCTACTTCTACTATTGTGCAAAAATCGGCATGCACAAATCCCAATTTCAAAAAAGGAAGATTTCTTGAAGCATATTATCAAATGGTGGGCATATATGTGAACCATTGTAGCGGCTGCACCTTGACGGAGGCTGTGACGTGAGTCAGAGCGGAACGATGAATTCGAAGTCGAAGCCGAGAGGAGGATAGCCGAGGAGGTACAGAGGAGTTGGGAATAGGGCAAAGAAAAGATATTCGTTCCAGAGGGTGTAGTCTTGGGGTGAGAAAGAAGGAGGTGTTTACGGAAGCGGAGGTGGCTGTGGCCATTGCTTGAGCTAAGGTTTGAACTAATTAAATTTGCAGATATGTTCAAGCTTAAAATCAGGGCTGACAGAGGCAGACAGGCGTGGTAAGATGGCTGTGTGCAGGTGACGGGGAGTGTATCGTTAAGAGGGAGGTGATAGGTGCGATAAGATGGTTTTGAGGGAGAAAATATATAGGGTATAAAATTTAAATGCCCTTCAGTTATATTATATAGATTTATGGAACGTAAGGAGCTTAAGAATGTAGGGGGAAACAAATGAGGGTACGTTATGAAAGGAGTAAACACAGAGGCAATTGATGTACTTGGAAAACCCAAGTACTTTTGTTGTTGTATTCACTTTTTAAAGAGGAATATGCAAGAGTTTTACGTAAGATCAAATACATTTAAAATACAGGATATGTTGTAAAGAGATAAAATAAATACAAGGATAACTAGAATTCAAATAGAGGTGTGAGAGATGCTGTAAGCTCTTAGTTTATCACACCCCTTCAAGTGAAGAAGAAGACCAATGAGGTCATCTAACGTTATGGCAGAATCGCAAGCCTGGATAGAATTTACTGTAGCTTCGTATATTGTTCCGACGCCATGGAGAATGAGTGTAACCAAATCATCCTCGTCAACTAGTTTCCCCGCAAGGGCTAAATTATCAGCGACACCATTTAGGTTGTCAATATGGTCGGAGATCGACATATTCCGTCATTTGGTAGTTTGAAGTTGATTCTTTACTTGCATGATGCGGGTGCGAGACTAAGAAGCATACCTTTTCTCTAGCGATTTCCAAACATCATGAGTGGTGGAGAGGCGAGCCACGGTGGGCGTGAGGCTGGAATTAAGCCAATTTAGCAAGGATTGATCTTGTTGCTGCCAACTAACACAATTGGGATTTTAACGGTGGTGCTTAATTTTCCATCGATGCCATTCAAAAACATAGCAGGACAAGGCTTTGTGCTGTCAACATAGCCAAAAAGGTCCATGCTTTTGAGTAGAGGAGTAAACTGAGCAAACCATAAGACATAGTTGGTCCTATCAAGCTTGATGGAGACGAGGGGTGAAATATTGGAAGAGCCAGAGGAGGCAGAGCTATGAGAGGCCATGAAGAATCGGAAAAAATGTCGTGAGACTATAGCTCTGATACCATGAAAGGAGTAATCAAAAAGGCAATTGATGTACTTGGAAAACCCAAGTGCTTCTGTTGTTGCATTCACTTTTTAAAGAGGAATATGCAAGAGTTTTACATGAGATCAAATACATTTAAAATACAGGATAAGTTGTAAAGAGATAAGATAAAAACAAGGATAACTAGAATTCAAATAGAGGTGAGAGAGATGCTGTGAACTCTTGGTTTATCACGTTATGTGAAACCCGTTCAGTATATAGAGGCTTTTGGGAAGATCTCAAAACCGTCATGGCTTCTCCAAAGTCGTTCATTTTCAGACCCTCCTTACAAGAAATCAAAGCTTGCTCTGCTGCAGGTACCTCTCTGATGATGATCAGCATTCATCATCACTTGGTGCTGGTTCACCTGGTTCTGTGGTTGTTTTTATGTTAGAATTCAAGAGTGTAGTATTGCTGACGTGGCCCTTGTGGGGGTGCCAAATGCTGGTAAAAGTACTCTTCTGGGTGCCATATAAAGGGCTAAGCCCATAGTAGGCCATTATGCCTTTACAACTTTAAAACCGAATTTAGGACATGTAAACTATGATGATTTTTCAGTCAGGGTGGCCAACATTCCAGGATTAATCAGAGGAGCTCACGGCAATCGTGGATTGGGACATGCTTTTTTGTGCCACATAGAGCCCATGAAAGTTCTTGCTTATGTGGTCAACTTGGCTGCAGCATTTGGTGGTAGAAAAGGAATCCAACCATGGAAACAGCAGACGGATTTAATTTTGGAGCTTGAATTTTATTGTGGTGGTTTGTCAAATCGTCCATCCTTAGTAGTGGTGAATAAAATTGATGAGGCAGGGGCTGAACAAGTCTATGAAAAATTAAAAAGAAGAGTGCCTGGTGTCCGTATTTTTCCAGGTTGTGCGGTTTTGGAGGAGGGGATACCAGAGCTAAAGGGTGGTCTTAGAATGCTTGTGAATAGTGGAAAATCACACAAACTTAATAGGCTGTAAATGATACTGATTTCATACCACTGAAAGATACTCCTTTCACACTTTTCAAAGGAACATCTGCAGTGTGTATGACTAGAAGTCAGCTGCTTGGACTTTTAGTTTCCGAGGGCTCTGTATTTTTAGTACTAACACCTTTTGCAGATCAACATCATACCATAGATGTCGTGAGTAATATTTAATTTTCCAGACAGTTTTCTTTGCATAGCTGCAAGCAAAAAACATGTGGAAGTGAAAATTATACATGATAAAGGTTCTGCATTTTTCTGTTGTATTAACACCCCATTTATTTGCTAAATTAAAGCTTCTTATGTGTCTCGCCCACATTTATTCACAAGTCGAGAATAATCGTCAAGATTACTGCAGAATGCAGCCTGGCTATTCAAGAGCTTGGAAAATAATATGTAGGACCCTGTCGACACGTATTGCCAGTTAACCCTGCGATCACAAGAGGATCATGGCTGTGATATGTGCTGATTGTGGAGATGGAGTTCTGCGCAATGAGTTCTGGGTTTCATATATTTTCTTCTTTGCTACAACAACAGCTGGGTATTGGTGAGAGAGCCACTTATGTCATGGATGATAAGCTACCATTAAAGGTTAATGTAATGGAGATGATTCAAATGCATTATTATAGTCTCGTATAACGAGTCCTACATCATGGTTGAACAAGAAAAATTGGCATCTTGGAGACCTTTACATTTGGAAAGTTTAATATGTGGTTTTTAAAGAGATGGCAAGTCAGGTGAGAGAGGAAAAGTCGATCATCAACACCATTCTTTCTGCAAGGGTTCAGTGCACAAGGAATCGCATTATTTACCCACCATGGAAAGAAAGGTCACCAAACGAAGCTGCTATGGAACCTAGTATGTAGTTGCCTTTCTTTATTTCAGAACTTAATACCTTGTTTCATCGGATTAACAAGGGGTCCCATTAAATGGGGTCCACTGGCAATTTAAAAAATCACCGTATATTAGTCTCCAAATTAAGTTTTCAAATAAGGTTCACATAGTGCTAAGATTTCAACATACGCATAGAAACGAATAATAAAAAGGTGGGTTACTAAACAATAAGATTGTATATATCTTAGTATCTTCAAAATTTTCAATATCTAAGATCTCATTACTCATACAATGGTTGTCTGGTTTTTTTTACCTGTTATTAATGTAAGGAACATAATTGAGGCTAAAGGCATACTTGTTGGTCACCGGGAACAGATTTAAAGAACAAAACGATATCGTTTTAAAGAACAATATCGTTACTGTACAACAGAGGATCTAAACTGGGGTCTCTGAAGCCAATTATATCTGGGAGCCACTTAGGAATGTCAAACAATGGTGAATTGTGGTGATGACGTCTTGTAGCAGCATGCTTCACGCCTTCCCTTTTGTGTGTGGTGTTCCTTGACGAAGTTGATGATGAGTGGTGGTTAAAAAAAATTAATTGATGACATATCTGAATATATCTTCTCGATTAAAATAATGAATATTTTGTTTTGTATTTTCCAAAAGTCACTGGCCACAGCAATTACTGTTACACAATTATAAGGAATTTTTAAGTGGAAAAAAAGTTTCTATATTTTCATTGGTCGCTGAAATAATCAAATCCTAATCATGGGTCCTTATTTACGACTATGATTATTATTATTATTTAATTTTTATATTATAGTAACAAAGATGACTAAAACAACATAATTGCTCAGCATTACGTGGGGAAAGAGCACAACCATTTAAACCATTGAGCAGAAATACGCTAATTTTTTAAGATTTGTACAAGTGTATGGTGGATATCCATCATCTCTCTCCTCCCCAGCACTATAAATAGTACTCGATATGACAAACAAGGAACATCAACCTTGAAGTGTTTCTTAGTGTATTCAAATATCAAGTCTCTCTCTCTCTCTCTCCTACTTTCAAGAAACATGTCTTGCTGTGGAGGAAACTGCAAGTGTGGTGCTGGCTGCAAGTGTGGCGACGGCTGTGGAGGGTAAAAGTTTCTCCTTATTTACTTTCTTCAACTGCCTGCAGTTTTCTTGACCCTTTTTTTTTTCCTAGGAAAAAAGAATGCTTTTTTTGTTGATGATCAGTACTCTTTCTTTTCATTTCCTTGAGGTTGTTATACTATTTCCTGTGTTATAAGCTAGATCTGGCCGAGAATCAAAATTTTGTTTTAAGACAGATCGAAATATTTTCGTTTCTAAGAAGATTGAAATAATCTGTATGAAATTTCAATGGCATAATGATTTGGTAATTCAGGAGACGACTTATTATTATTGATGATAACTATAATTTACTGAACAAGTGTTCAACTTTAACTTTATAATTACTATGCTATAATTCTATAGAATGATAACGTATTATAGAATCAAAATGTTTTGTGGTGTTTCATAATGTTTTCTCTAACGTTTTAAAATTTTGAAATATTTCAAGATATTTTGGTATATCTGGTAAAGTGTTTTGGAATACCTTCTAAATTTTTTTGGCAAGGTCGTTGCCCCAGTGGTTATCTTGCGACAAAGTTGGATCCCACATGTCATCATGTTGATCATAGTGAGAGAGGGGGGGGGGGGGGGGGGGGG